TGGACTGGCAGATATATTCTTTCTAAACGATGGTCTATACATTCTTTTTAATTCTATTTAACATTTAAATAAAATTATTTTATTTTTTAATAACAGTTTCAATATTATTTAATAATTAAATTGAAATATTGAAAGATAAATACAACAAAGTAGTGTTTTAGTAAATAAATGTATTCTTATACTTAGAATTTACAGTATCTGTTTTTATCCATTCTATTATTAAATTGTTCTTCTTTACTAGTGACACTAATAAATCAAATTCATCTGCCCAGAAGTAAGTTGAACGTTTCTGTTTCATTGAAGAATCCATTTGATTAATCATTGGAAATTTATGTTTCATTGTAGTTTTAGTGTTGATAATTACATGTGTAATCATTAAAATTTAAAACACGCATTATATTTTGTGCAAGAAAAAAACACTATACATAGGTCATCTTTATTTAATGTACAGGGTACTCTTTTAAATTTATTTTTAAGCAGATAGTACATCATATTTTTATCAATTGAATATTATAGCCTAATAATTGATGTTACTTTTTGATTCACCTTGTTTTTCCATTTTCTATTGATTTGCTCGAAGAAGTTTTAGCTTATTGCTATCTTTAAAACGTAATTTTTTTTTTAAATCATTTTTTTCATTATTAAATATTTTTCCAAATAGCACAAACAATCGTACATGCTTTTGGCTTTTGCCTACACATTATTTTTCGTTTAAGTTCATACTTGTATTCATAGACCTTATACTCGTATAAGGTCTATGCTTGTATTACAACCAGTGTTCTGCCTACAAAAATTAACCTAAAACTGTTGATTGTTGATTTTGGCAATAATACATGAAAAAATAATCTAAAAGATATTGATGAATGATGATTGTCAATTGTCATCATTGTTTAAAAATTAAAACAACAGCAAATATATTGTATGAAAGGAATAATGATAACAACAATCGTACAATATTATTGATATGGATTTTTATCGTGCGTTGCTTTTTAGTGCTCTTGTGCTGTATTCTTCGGTGGTTTGCGAGACCCAGCATGGCAGCATATCGTCAATATGTCGAGTAACTACCACAGAATATTCTGTATAACTAATACAATAATATGTTCTGTCCATGAGTATAAAGCATTTTATTGATGATTACTTTTTTTTTCTTAATTTTTTATTTTGGACAAGTTTTTACGCCATGCTTTGTGTAAAATAATGCATGTTTCGCAGCACCCATTATTTTAATCCAACTGTTAAAATATGAACTCTGTATAATATCTGATATAATTGTTTTTGGTGATATAGTATTCAGTTGTTGTTCTAAGTTCTTATTACCACAGCCTATTTGGTATTATTAGTGTTATTACCACTTCATCGTTTCTATTGGTCAGTAAAAATGCAACTGGGTACTGGGTAGCCTTCAGAGTCTATATCTATTACTATATAACAATGCATGTAAAATAAAATGATTTGGATTTGTTCCATGCGTAACATCAAAACAAATTGTTTTGTGACCATAGCGTTTCAAATTACGCTATTGATTTTCATCCATGCATTTAAATGCAAAATTGTCTACGAATCCAGGTTTCTTGAAAAATCATTTTTTTTCTTTCATGGTTTCGGGAAAAGTGTCTGATGCACTAAATATTATCCACCACCCTAGTACACCATTAGAACTAGATCTTGATTGGTTGTTGTACCACCAACAGACATTTTGATTTTTTATTCTATGTTTTGAATAATTATTTTGCAGAATCATTTTTCAATGTAAGTCTGTATGTTTTCAAGTCACATTTTCTTAATTTATGAAAAAGTCGTGTGATATCTACACGTGAGTCGACTTTTGGGCGTTTCAAAAGCTTTTTATTGCTATTCAGGTGAGTTAAACAATATACAACATAGAAATAATTAATATACGTACCTAAGATAATGTTATTATTTAATATTTATCACACTTAATCAGTACCTATGTTGAACATTTTTTATTATCTGATCACTAAACGCAAATCTTTATTTTTAACTCGTCATTGTCCAATTTACATATATTTGTGTTGCTCAAAATTGTCAGGATATGTTATCGTGCAGTTTGAACTTAAAATACAATTATACGATTTATTTCAAGTGTCAGATATATTTACGTTGTTTGAGTTATGAACTTATGATTAGTATTTATTATATCTATTACCTATGCTATGCAGTGCTAAATTAATACTAGCTTATGTCAATTAACTGATAAATAGGTCGCGTATTTTTATGTAATAAAATAGTTAAAATATGTAAATATTTATATTTTTGTTAACGTATGTATTAAAAAATATGAAATATTTAAAAACAAAAAAGTATAATTTATTACATACATTTTTTTAAATTTTATTAATTTAATTCATTATCACTGTTGTCTTCTTGTAGTGGCTAAAAAAGTGTTCAATGTCGACTGAGGATAATGAGCCATATATATCATCAAATGGTGTTAATTTAATATTCATTAATGTGTTTTCTTTTTAATTTAAAAAAATATCTCTAATATTTTTATTTTTTTTTTGGAAATCAGCATTTTTAGCGATTGCATAATTTAATTTATTTTTATTATTACTCCAGATTCTTCTTGAGCTTTATTTAATTTGTTTGCTTCATTTTCCATTATTGAAAGACTTTCAATAATTGTTAGATTTGAAGTTTTATGCTGAGTTATTAAAAAACGTTTTAAACAAAAACAGATTTTCTTCAACTTACACAAAATAATATATGGCCGTCAATCTTAAAAGTTTAGTTAAGAAATTCTAAAAGGTAATGAGTCACTTAAGATTTTTTTGTTCATGGTATTTTTGGCATGATTATAATTGAAAAAATTGCACTAATGAAACCAACTGTACATAATATAATGTATGCTGTATAGGTACCTACTAGAAACTAGACTGTTTAGACTAATCAATATTATGGCACTATTGTATCATCATAAATCGTTATGTAACTTATCCTATTTATTATGCTACCTATTAATGTTTACATAGAACAAAATTTTCAACATAATAATGGTTATTATCAACATTTTTTTCAATTTTAGAAATACCTATGTATAAAAATACCAAATATGTCCCTCATTGGTAAAGTATTTAAAAATATGTATTTATATCAAAATATGTGAAAATACATAAAATGAAAAGAGTTATATTATTTTAGGTGTTATGAAACATACTTATTACTTCTGTTTATCAAAATTAAGAAAATTGTATTCAAAAAAATTATGTATTTAAATACAAATCTAAGCCCTTCTGATTAATTAAAGGCACCAGAGAAATAAACACATAAAAGTTGATTTTCTTAAATTTTTCAGGAGACAAAAAGAACTTCTTATGAATCAAACATAAAAATGTTGTGTCATTATATGTGTAAAAATAACACATACCAAATAAATTAATTTTCTACAGTAATTATTATTTATTTAATGAAATAATTGATAAAAACTAAAAAAAAATGTTGATAAATACATTTTCAATAGTTGCATTTACAAGTGATGTCAAATTATGATTTTGAATATACCCGATTATTGCAAAGATTATTAACCAGTAAGCAAATAATCTGGTAATTATCCATACAATAATAATACATATTATTTTTTAAAAGTATGTATTATATATAATAATATATTATTTCAACATAAAATTTTAATGTATAAATAGGTTTTTAATATTATGAATTAATTTTAATCTTGCCAAACAATTATTTATTTTTACAAACAAAATAAATAACTATTTATCACTCATTTTGTACTATGAAAATAACTTAATTGTGATCATAACTATTAATTACTTACCGCTGACCTATAAATTTGAAGATACTTTTTCAATTATTTTAAAGTTATAAGTAATTTTTTTTGGAGTACTATTCAAAATGAGAATTGTAGTATATGCATAGTACTTAAAAATACATTGCTGTATATCAGTAATTCTCATATTATTTAATCCTTCAATTTTAATTTTTAAAATCATGTTTATTCTTTCACATTTTGTTTTCTATTCTGCTATAAATACCAAAAATTTCCCATAAGTACTTAAATTTATTATGTAATTAATGTATTTATATTTTTATATGTAAAATTTGAATGATATACACCATTTAAACAAATCAAATTAAATAGGATTTATTCTTTATATCCCCTTGTAATTATGGTCTTACTACAAAAATCCATTGTCTTTAGTATTATTTAGATTTCTAGTCAAATATAATTTAAAGATGCTTAATAAATCATTTAGAAAGTTCTATTACTTTAAAATGTTTTAATGGTAATTAAATTTTTTTTAAACAAGTTTTTAGTTTTAAATTATAATTGATAATCAATCATAAAAATAGTATATATTAGGTATATAATTTATAGTAAGTATTATTATAATAAATTAGAAAAAAATATATTGTCTAAGAAAATTACCCAATAAATAATTTCACTCACTTTTAGAAACATACCACATACTGAGAGCTAAATTTTTGTACAAGTTATTGTATGATATTATTTAGTGATCGATACTAAGTACAAAAAAAAAAAAAAAACTTATACTTTTACTTATAAAAGTTATTTACTTTTAAGTAAATAACTTATAAAAGCTACTTTAAGGCACTTAAAATTTTGTACATATCACATATGTAATATTATTAAACACTTTATAGAGTAAGAAAGACATGACAAATCTTTGGTTTTAAGATGGAATCATCTTAGGTGTGTTATTCAACTTTTAGTTTTGTAAATATATATTACATAAAATCTATTTTAAATAAATTAAGAGTTTTTTAAAATCAAAAACCAATTTAACATGCAACAAACATTGATAGTTTCTAAAATTATAACATTAAATTATTAATTAAACATTCAATATAGTAAGTTGATGTATTATTTTGTGGTAAAATTATTATTTTTATTAATATTTTATTGGTCTCAGTATATCATTAGTCTCTTATCAAATTTGTATGCTTTTGCTTTATCAAATTGCTTAATTAAGTATTTTATTATTCAATATTTATCAGTTTTTCTGTTGAAAAATGATTGAATAGGTTCCAGTTTTGAATATTTTATTGTAAACTAATCAAAAAGTTTGGTATTTAATTTATAGTAAATACTAAGTTGTTTATGTAATATATATTGTGTATTGTAAATAATTATTAAAAAATGATTGAACATTTTTTTTAATTTTTGTACCTATTTTTAATAATAGTTTATTTTATTTTAGATGCTGAGAACAGTAATAATTTACAATATGCATCATTTAGAATGACATTAAGACTTACCAACACGGGTAATAATCAATTTAAGAGTTTGTTTGTTCGACAGGGTGAGAAAAACATGAAAATAGCTGAGGAACAGAACGCCAGCATGATGAATGATTTGTAAGTATTATACTCAAAACAAATATGTATTTTTTTGTTTTTATCATACACAACATAATACAACATATTGTACAATAAATCTTTTAACTTATAGAAAAACTGTCGAAACTGAAGAAAACCCAGAAACACCCAGTCAGTTGATTTCTCAATCAACTGCAAATGTATTAACTAGTGCACCAGCAGAGAGTGCATCAGTTAGTACTTCTAAAGAAACTGAATCCAAAGATGGTGGCTTAAGTGAAGCAACAGATACTGTAAATAGCTTATTAAACGAATCAACTGTAAAGCCATTAAAAGAAGCAGATAATTTAAAACGACCTCTAGTTGAAGAAGACAAAGAAATTAAACAAAAAAAATGTAAAGAAAATAGCCAAAGTTCTACAGGTGACTTTATATGTTTATAGTTACTATCAATTAGTTTAAAACGATACTTTAATATTCAACTTTTAATCTCTCAAAATTATCAAACAATATTTTGTTAAATAGAAAATCAGTAAATTTCTTATAATAATTAGAACTTAAAGATTCATTATTGTACTAAAAACTAGTACTAGAATCAGTCAGTTGAGTGTACTTCTATGTATAAACATTAAGCCTAAAATTGTATATGTCATAATATTTTATTCTAATTTAAATTAAATGTAATTTTATGCTACATTGATGTATAATGTATATGTTTCAAACAATTTTTTTTAAATTGATTTATAAATGGCTATAGAAAACATAATGATAAATTACATTATGTTGTTTAAAATTGTATCAATTCAATTTTTTACAGTAGACAAATTTTGAATAAATTAAAAAAAATACTTAAGTTTATTTTTGTTTATTAAAATGCATCCTTGCATATTATTGTGAACGCATAGTTAAATCAAATGATTATAGGAATTTTGAGCTTTAGAAAAAAAATCAAATGCAAATCTGATCTTTTGTAACTAGCAATAATATATTTTCCATACTAAAATAAATAATACTTTGAACATAATATAGTACTTTAAATCAAAATAATGAATAAGTATAAAATACTGTGTAGTATTTATTGATTTTTAAAATGTATTTAGAACTGTAAAAAGATATATCAGGTACCTAGAAATATATTGCTATTTTGATTTGACTATTTATAATATAATATATAACATAGGTGGCCAACTTGCGGCTCGCGAGTCACATGTGGTTCTTGTCATTGTCAGATGCGGCTTGCGTCTTATTTATAAAATTATAAATTTAAATTTTTTTTGGTATTAGATTATAAAAAGTTATCAAATTATGTAAAATGTGTCTATAAACATTTTGGCTCTTAGTATTACTGTATTTGTCTATGTGGCCCGGGAACTTATTCATGTTGGACATCTCTGGTACATAATATGTGGTTTATTATGTAATTGTTATATTAGACTAAGCTATTTATTTTTTGAACCCAAAATTAAAAATACAGTAATAATTTAACTTAACTTGGATCTCTATTAGATGAAAATTAATAAAAGATATTAATTTTTAAATTTTTTTTAGTTAAAAATGAAGCTTCTAGTCCTAAACCACCTGATAGTGATAAGGAAAAATCTGGTGGTTCCGGACCTTCTAATGTTAACAGTTGTGGAGGTGACCTTAAAGTACCCCCATTAAAAATTGTGATACCTACTACTGATGCGGATACGGGCATTAGAACATATGGCAAGAACAGTAATCGATCACATTATCATTCAGCATTACCATATGTAGTATTATCAGAAGAGTCACCACCAGTATCTAATCAGCCTAACTCACCAAAATCTCTGCAGAAAGCGACTTCCGATACAATAGTTGTAGAAGAGCAAAAGTCTCCACAAACCAGAGTATTACGGTCATCTAACAGATGTGGCAGTAACAGTAGTGGTACACCAAGTCGTGACACTTCTCCAATTGTCCCTGATGAACAATTGGCTCAAACTACAACACCAGCTGATGTGACAGTAGATGCAAGATTAAGTAACTCTTCATTGTCTGCTACACATTCAGAAAAGACTAAAAATGTATCAGCAATCGTTTCTGGAGATGGCAAACAGACAACTACTAATGCTGCAGTTACTACAACTATAACGTCTGAATCTACTCCAACTGCTGAACTGTCAGGCATTGAGCTACATCCTAAACGACATAAATTAAAAGTTAGTCATATTGAATCCAATACTAATGATACTTCATCTTCTGCTAATGTTACTACTATAGAAACTAATCCGTCCGGCACAACTAGTGAACCTGCTCCAGTTACCAATTGTTATCAAATGTTTTTAAACATTAGAAAACAAGTAAGTTGGTTAAATAATAATATTCTCAATTGCTGTTTTTATTTTTATACTTTATTTATTTTTGTAGATTGATAAGAGACGTAAGAATTTATTTCCTGTACAACCTAAACCACCATGTGGATTTAAAGATTATCTAATGAATAGACGCACATATGTTTTGGCCGGTAATTCTAAGAGCCACATAGTAAATATACTAACCCCATCACCAGCCAATTTACACAAACAGTTAAAAAAGCTGTTTGTTGAACAAGAAAAGGAAAGACAAAGACTTCATGTACAGGTTTGTTCAGTTGGCTTAATTAAAAAAAAAAATATATAATTATAATATTTATAATATAATAACTACCATAATTTTATGATTTGTTTAGCACATAGTAGAAAAAGAAAAATTGGTGCTGAGTGTTGAACAAGAGATACTTAGGGTTCATGGACGTGCAGCTCGTGCATTAGCTAATCAGTTTTTACCATTTTCTGTATGTACTATACTCAAGGATAATGAAGTATACAACATAATGACATCTGAGCAAGAAGAAGAGAAAAATAGACATACAAGATCTCGTTACAATGGTCGTCTTTTCTTGTCATGGCTACAAGATGTAGATGACAAATGGGAAAAAATTAAAGTAATAATTTTATAAATTATAACTGTCTATAAAATGATTTTATAACTATATTTTGTGTTCACTAAAGGAATCAATGTTACTAAGACATCACAATGAAGCAGAAAGTTTACACGCTGTACAAAAAATGGACTGGGGATGGAAGTTAAAGGAATTGCAATTATGTACCTATAGTTCAGAACCCAATATTGATGAAGAGCATGTACCAATGGTTCAAGTCAGTGACAATTTTGATCTCTTGGATGCCTAGTTTTGTTACTCATTAATATATTGGTACGATGTCAAATTTCAAGTCGTATTAATTTGTTCGACTAAGTTATGGTTAATATTATTATTGTTATGGATAAATATTTTACTTGACAACTTTTGAATGTTTTTCATTTGTATTCGTACCATTTTATCAATAATAAATTAATAACTATATTGGCCAATGGCCATGTATTGTTTGTAACATCTTTGTTTTAATATAAATTTATAATTTTTTGACAAATATTATTATGGTGATAATAAATGTTTTCTTAAAGCAATTGTTTACTTTTATTTATTTATTTTTTTTACACCAGAAAATATTATATTATTTTAACAACAAACGCTCTTTATTTAAAAAAATTTAAAAGGGGCCCTAATATTTTTTTTCCTGTCAGAAAAAATACAGCTAGATACTATTTACCTTGACGATTAAGATTAGGTTAGGATATGATGTTTGTGTTACTGAAATTCCCAGATGGTCTTTTTGATCTGGGAATTAGCTCTAAAATTTTGTACTTTTTAATTTTTCACTTTTAAGTTTGTTTTTAAATTTTATAAACTTGATTTTTAAATGTTTACATTAAATATTTTTTATTTATAAGTATTAAGGTTAAATTAGTGGGAAAATGCTCCACAAATACGATGATGGTACCACTTAAATCTTGTGTTAAGTCTAAATACTTAAAAGTTTAAAATAAAAAGTTATTTTGGTTATCTTGGATGGTTTATCGATATATTATTGTAATAGTGTACTATTAAAATATTTCATTTATAATTAATTTATGTATCTTAATAACAAAGTTTTCATCAAAACATTTACCTTTTTTTAAAAACAGGAAAATACACTCTTTTAGGGGTTTAATACAATCAATTTTAATAGCATTTAAGAAAAATTTAAATTTAAAAAGATGCCTTACCTCCTGTAATTTATCCAAAAATATAGTCTTCTATAGAACATCAAAATAGTGATCAAAATAGTCTTAATAATTTATGTCATACATACTCATCTAATAGAAATGTATACATGTAGTATTTTCATTTTTTTGTTATCTTAAAACAATTATAATTATTCATTAATTTTATTTCTCTTCTACAAATATGTAGTATAATAAATATTTAGCAAATCTTCTATAAATAATGTACTCATAAGTTGTTCTATGTGGAACCTCTTTTTATATAACCTCCTTAAATCATAAAAAGTAACAACTATTTATAGAACTGACATAGGAGTCATAGGACCACTTTTAAAATACTTAGAATATTAGTGTTTACATTTTTATATTTAAAATTAAATTTTGTATTTTTTCTCAAAATGTCATTAAAATTACCTATACTAAGCCTCTTAAATAGAGGATAATTAGCAGCTATTTGGTGTTCTACCTACATCAGCTGTGGTATGGTAAACATTGTTTTTTGAAGACGATGTCAACCAATATCGTTGGTCAGATCCCTGGTGATCGGATTCATAAGACAGATTAATTATGACTAAGTGGGGTTTTAAACTAATAAGTAATAACTTAAAAAAATGTATTACATTTAATTTATCGTAAAATTTATATTCTATAAATAGATACTATTTTTGCCATGACCCATAACATAAATAAAGTGTGATTTCTATTGTTTCTAAGTTGAAGCCTCTAGAAACAGTTACTTATATTAAATTTAATATCTATACCTACTATTATACTGAATGAGAGAAATTAAGAAGAGAGTATCAAAACAAGAAATGAAAAATAATTGTATTAATAGGTATTCTATTAGCTAGCAACAATCATCTATCAACTATGCAATTATCAAAATATTTTAACTAATTTTAAGCTTTTATTACTATGAAATATGAATCCATTCATACCAAAATATTATACGTTAGCTGTTAGTATTACGACTTTGTAAGTGAATATTTATCATAAAATATTATGTAGCATGATAATTAATATTTACCAAAGCTTGGCAAAAATCAATTCAACATTTTTAATAATAGATAAATGAATTATTTATTCTAACACATAAGTAGGTACTTCATAAGCGTGTGTATGGGTGTAACGAATAGTGTTTTCGCTAAACTTGATATGGTTTCGATTTTTTAATAATTTTATGCTAAAAAATAGCTACATTAATATGAGTATCTAATTATAAAAATATTGAATTTAAAATAAGAATGTTTAATGTTGATCGAATGATAAATAATTTTAATGCGAAAGTCACTTAATATATAATTAGTGGCATAGTGACAGTGGACACAAAATATTATGTTTATCTCTAAAACAATAGAAATTATACACTTCTTGTTATTAAAACAGTGCAGTGAGCTCCTAAAAATTTGTTTATTCTCCGAGACAAAATTCTCTGTTAATCCTGCGGTAACTATGCAATTGTGTACCTATAACTTGTCCTATTTATATACACATGTATGCTTTTACACAATCACATGTATATTAATAATTTCAGTAATATAATACATTACTTGCTATAATTATTATTAAATAAAAAGCAATTAAAAAAAAAAATAAAATACATTACATATTAATAATAGACGTCAGACGCCATTAAAATCGATAAATTTATAGATTCGCATGATACGAGTACATTATTTTGATTTTTTTTTTAATAACTTAATTTATAATAGATTATACTTGTAAAAACTAGTTACTTCCAGCGCCGGATTAGCAAGGCGTCGGTCAGTCGGTCTATCGAGTTTTAAAACTTTTAATGTTTGGTTACAACTACAATTATCGTATGGTTTAGGTATCTTTACGGTTAAATTTGATTCACTTATATTTTCTACCAAAATTTGAACTAATTTATCATTATTATATAAGAAAAAAAAATTACGACTAACACTCATTACCAGCTCATATTTTAAGAAGCCCACTGAATTTTACTCGTTAACTCGTCGAGCTAGTCCGATCCTGGTTGCTTCCACTATATGCTGCTTATATTATAATTATCTAAAATTCTAAAAAGACAATGTGATAACGTGTTATGTGTTAATGATAATAATTGTAAAAAAAAAAATCGATGAAATTTTATGAGTAATATAATTAATAAGTAATAACTATACATTATTATTCATTCGTAGTTGAATACATGCGGTTAGCTCTGTTCGTACTCCGTAGACCTAATTCCTATAGGAGGAAGAGATGTTAGAAACTTTCAGTTTCGAATAAAATATAAGCACACGCACAATATTATAACAATATTACAAAATTATTATTTATTCCATATAATCGATTATTGTTATTAATTTTATATAATCAATAATAATTTATTAAATTCTAAGCAGAGCTTTTAATATTTAATTTATTGATTATACAATGATGTAAATTTAAAAATTTAGAATTTCTTAGTTTTGATTACGTCAGTACTTACCTGAAAAACGTATTTCTGTTACCAGTATCATAATATACTGTCATCGACATGTATTTTATAATTGCCGGTAAAGGTCAGGTATTATTATTATTTCTTACTATTGGGTATTTGTATGTTGGCTATAAATATAGTACCTAGGTATAAAACGAAAACTATTTATTCATATTTTTTATCATAATTTGCAATAAAATATGCTGGTTGATTAACATTAGTTAGGTATCTATTCAATTAATAAACTGTTTGTTTCTTATTATTGTTTCAATTTAGTTTAAAAGATATTTCTATAATATACATCAGTTTTTATTTTCATAAATAATACCTATTTATGTATTTTTTCGGTTACTGTTCTTATTTGTAATTTCTAAAAGTTATCTGCAATTATTTTTAACTTTCTTTGTTTATTTTTATTCTTTTTATTTCAAATATAAATTTTAACACCGTTTTAGCTTCATATATAAATGCATATATCAACAATGAATACAGTTTTAAGTCATCAACGACAATGGTTCCTATTCATTAGAATTTTAGAACACCGATTCGAAATAGTTTCAGACGTTTCAGTAGTATGTTCCTACCTCAATGTTACAATATAACAGTTAATCGTACACTATAGAAAAGTTATTGTAATGGGTTCACGTAACGGTAAGAAATTATTCTTATGTAAGTTTAAACAATACAGCTAAGCTAAGTTAAAGTTTAAACTAGGGAGGTATATAATCCAAGTAAGATAGTTTTAATGTTTTATATTTAAGTAAAGGTACCTACGTATAGTTTGTCCAGCGAGAGAACGTGCCGTTTTTGCGCATGTAAACTGACAACCACTGCAGGAACCGATCTTTGACTTTTAGATACTAAGACCATGTACGAGACAATGGTCTCGACTGGGTACGCGTGGGGATGCGCAAAAACGTAGCGATTTTGGTCGGCGCGCGGCGTGTTCTCTCGCTGGACAGACTTTTTTTATATATTGACTTATTAAATTATTTTTAGTATTTATTGTAATTGTAAAGTAGGCAAGGTATAATATATAAGCTTTACACGTATTTAGTAAAATTATGGGTAGAAGATCACCTGTGGTTGTGCCACAATCATTTTGACAGATGATAATATTCAGTAGCTAAAGAATTTCGGCGATTTAATAGATTGGAATAAAAATTGTTCGTAGCGCGTATATCTATAAAATTATTATTTTATTTAGTTTTCTTCCCCTTACGCATCGCCACTCACCACTTTACCGTCTAAAATTTTGATTATCGCCGGTCGGTAACACTCCTGTTTTTTTCGATATTTGTGCTGAAATTTGTAAAACAGCACAAATCGTATTTTTATTTCTAGGTTTTTATATTAGTGAAATAAATTATATTATATTATTGGTAGGTACATAGTCATATAGATATAGTTATTGTATGTATATATTATATTGTACGTGTGTTTTTTTTTATATTGTATAGCTTTAGGATCAGCTGTTCAGTCTGTGTTCCGTAAAACATTTATACATTATTTGTTAGTAATATTTATTTTAATTGTTATAGGTACTATTACAGGCTAAAAACCCTCAAGTTTTGTAATTTTAATAGTTCAGCTCCAATAGCCTACATGTCTAACCTCAATATTTACAATTTGATATGATTGTATCATAGACAACTAGATTTATTATTAATTTATACATTATAGAGCAGCGGTTCCCAATTTTTTTAGTTGTGCGGACTAGAGCCGTACTGTAATAATTTGGTGCCTAAAGAAAAATTAAAAATATTTGCCTTCTC